AAGTTACATCCTTCTAACAGGAAAAGTAACTTTCGTTATCATGGAATTATAACAAAACCTGCCAATTCAATATAAATGGAAAAAAAATATTATATGGAATTCAACGAAAATGAAAATTTGCTTGATAATTCAACTACGCTTGTTGGAGAACAATAAAAACACTACACTCAACAAGCCACCAATAAAACTCAACTGCCTAACCTATAACCAAAATCTCCTTTTAATTTGTTTTTTAAAAAAAACGCTTGACAAACTTGCCCCGCATGCCGAAGTTGCCCCGATCTCCCCTATTATTGTGAGAATACGGACGAGAATTAGCCCTTTAATCGTCGAGTCGTGAGACTCGCTCATTTTGTCGGTGGGTGGCTTACTCGTGAATAGGAGGGTCTTACGATGCGAGTGGGGAAGTCGTGGGTAAGTTCCGATCGGAGGCCGTTTCGGATGTTCGTATGATTCCAATAGACATACATCCAGATTAAAAACAACAATAAAAATTTAATGGATATATAAGAAGTACAAAAGGAAATAAAATAACAACTAAATAAACATACTAACTACACCTCTAAACACCCAGAGAGAGTTTACAAATTTTATATATACATTAATATCTCTGTCAGACTAGGGCATTTAGTCTAGACAATGTGGAAAGCTTCTCTTCTGATATGGAGATGGATGAAGCATGGGCGACGGCTGATGGAGAGCCGGAGCGACATTATGCTCCTCTTATGCCTTCCACACTTCTATACGGCAGTGTTCGTTCTTTAATTGGTCGTCTGATCTCTATGGCGTTTGCTGGATTATTGTCGGCTGCCCCGAGATTGTGATGTCTCTCCCCTTTTATTCCAAATTCCTCTCCAATTGGGTTTTAGTATTCGTAACATCTGACGGGTTATTATTTCTGATGCATATGGACAGATGTTCGTAGGAGATGTGGGATAACATCTCTCCCAAAGGAAGTTTACTTCCCTTCCCACGAATCTAATAAAAAAAAAAAATGTGTTCAATCAAAGTAATATTTTAGCAAAAACTAAAATATTACTTTAATTTACTAATTGATTTAATTAATTAAATAAAACTTATTCTCTGTCTTACGATTCTCACAATAACATGTAATCAAGGGTCAAAATTGCTTTATGCTGACTGTTTTTATTGTTATGAAGGTTTAATATTGTATTGTTTTTGTGATGTTTCTTGATTTTTTTTGGTAGATATATTCTCGCAGTGTCTTTATCTGTTTGTAGTAAAGATTTTTTTATAATAACCTGAGGTCTCGCCCTCCCTTCTAAATAAGTTACTATAGATATAATAATACTTTAATATTTATTTATTTATTTCAGTTTTAAAATATCGTAAGTATAGCACCATACGTGCCATAATTTTCAGAAACGGAATCTGAAAATTGGATCAACCAAAAATAGATCATTTTCGATGGGTAATCGCCCACCAAAAATTTGCTATTTTATATATATTCTTAAGGTCCCAAATAGAATGAATTTAATATAATAGGGATGAATATTCTATTATTAAAAAACTGCAAAATTTATGTTATGGTTCTCAGTGCCGTAACTAGACAGATTTAACAGATGCATCCGCACAGGGCCCATTTGAAAAGGGGTCTGAAATGCATGTATTTGTTTCATTTTCCCAGACCTAATTAATTAAGGGGCCTAAATGCAAATTCTCGCACAGAGCACAGGAATGGCTAGTTACGGCTCTGATGGTTCTATACTCACGATATAATTTTAATGCAGTTTTAAAAGAAATATTAACTGTTAAATATTTCTATTTACCTCTATACTTTGTGTTATGCTACTTTTTTCCTTTACTACTATATAATATTCTCCAGCGGCTACAGCTTCTTGCAATTGCGGTATGGTGTTTGGAACATGTTGGAAACCGGGAAAGGTCATGTACGATGCTAAATTTCCAGCATAACAAGCTACGAGAATAGTACACGTCAGCAACCACGCAGACAGCATCCAACGAACTTTATGCCCAATGTTATCTATTAGACTGTCACCTGCTCACGCAAAAATTCAAATTATTATCATTATAAATTAAATAAACGATTCAAAAAATTACCTTGATTAGCGAATCCAACAAAAAGCATCCAAGCAATTCTTTTCCATCCGCGTCGCAGTTTTATTGATTTCAGTTTCCATTCTGCTTTTAATAGAAAATAAAGAATAGGTATGCCCAAGATCAGGGTGACAAAGGTGGCTATCCACAACTATTAAAATAAAACATAATTTAGCTACAGAAGGCGGGGAGAAATAATAATACAGTCAAACCTCCAGTGACTGTCAGTGCGGCCATTTTTTCAGTAACGTTTGTTTATGAAATGCATACAAAATAACCTGCGAACAATAGCCATTTTTTATGTTTCCGTCAGTGGCCGTCGTCCAGAGGTTTGAGTGTATTACGAAAATTTATTCATTTATACTCGATAATTAAATGGTCGACTGATGATAAACATTTTAGATGCTTCCTCCGGTTTTTTTACTAAAAATCGCGCTTCATCGAACAAAAAAGGATCGGTGTAATCGATGATTTCCATTTCTTCCGCTTTCATAATGGTAAACATGAGGTCAGCTTCCTACATGAAAATGAACAAAATAGATCTTGCTATACCAAAGAAGTCACTAGTGCAAATTTTTATCAAAAATTATTATTTAAATTTCGTTAATAACTAAAGGAAATTCTAATATTGGGAATTCAGTAAATACTTTCGCACTTACTAAACTAGATATATTTTGAATATAGAAAAAAAGTTGTATTTTAATTTAAAAAATAAAATTTTTTTTCTTTCATGTATTGATCGTATTTTTTTTCTAGTTTTTAACTTTTTCCATCTAATAGGCACTAAGAGAATTTTTTATCCGTGTCCTTTATGACTTCGGTCAAGCTCAAAATGAGAGTGACCAGGTGTGACCAAAATTTCTTAAGACTCGACCTGGATTCGAACCCGAGTTAGAGCTGCAGGCGGATACATCTTTACGTTCATATAAAGAATATCATCGTTATCAAAGCACTGATTACAGAACGAATAGTAAATCAGCTGTTTCAGCAAATGATTATAAACTATGAATTTTCTTGGCTAAATTAAGATGTGAGATATGACTTACATTCTTCTGGATTTTTCCAACTCTTCCTGTCCAACTTCCATTATCTAAACGTTTCGATAATGATTCGCTTTCAATGAATTCGGCACTGAAATAAGATGATGAAATTTTAAGTAGATGCTAGCTAAAGAACTGAATACAGTATACACAACCAAAAAAAATGGTCTTACCGGAGTTGCAATTGAGTTGTTACCGCAGTTACGAGATTTCCTATTAAACCACCAAATTTTACAGATTTGTTATGACTTTCAGTAGAAACCGTAAAGAAGGGAAAGGTCTAAAATAAAACTCGAAATTAATTTTTTTTTTTAATTATAATCTGAAATTTCTACTTACTGCTTTGCCTGCTACACGTAAAACATTCTTGGCCTTGCCTATCATAAGATTTAATAAGCTTTCATACTTCTATTTATAAAAACCAGTGAAAGAAATACTTACCATTACATTCTACTAACTGAGATACACTCCAACACAGATAAAGAATTAACCAGAAATCAGTATTCATTTGCAAGCAGTTTAAGATACCAGATGTGTGCTTTGCGACTGACTAACTATAACTGAACATTAATTCTAGTGTAGTTAATCGATACCTGTTTATTTTTAAAGTTTTTCTATTGGAATTCACGTCAACACACGTCACAGAATCAAAAACTGAATGCGTCTTTTAGAACAATTAATTTTAAAAAATTATAATTAATTTACTTAGAATCCCGATTAATTTTCTGTGCAGAAAAGCCTGATTTAAAAGAGAAACTAATGATTAAATAATTAATTATATATTAATTATTAATTCGTATTAATTTCGCAAAACTAAATAATCTTAATATTAATGAATATTTAGTTTTTATGCATCAGTTAATGCCAAAATTCTGTGTTTTAATTAAAACGTTAATGATAATCCTTGTATTAATTACATGTTATTGTGTGGCCGATTGGATAAAACCACTGAATAGTATTACAGTCTGATCAACACAGGAAAGCACTCCCATTAGGCGTTGGACTACTTTACTAATCATTCGTAGGGGTGAGATATAGCATGAGTCAGCTAGTATCTGGTTGGCATATCTTACAGGTAGATGGCTTAAACTAGAGTCGATAGATATACTGGTCCTTGAGCTGCCAATAGCTCTAATGTTACTAACTGGTTTAATAAATATTTCAGTTACTTCGAGCGCTTCGAGAGTCAGCTGTAAACATTCGAAATTCTTTTAATATATGAAATTTTCTCGTTTTTAACTCAGATATTTCTTTTGTCTTTTTTAAAGGACTGCTTATAAATACTATTTTAATCCGGTTTTAAACATTATTTATTTGTAAATGCCGTTAATATTTATATTTTTATTAACTGTCACTTTCACTATTTTAGACTTTAAATTGATTAGACTGTTTTTTTTACTTACAATTTGTGTTTATTTTTAAATATTTTTAGGTGTTTTCGTTAGGGGAAGAAAACGTAGTAAAAAAATTTATAGTTAAGCCTGTATATACGTTATTAATACGGGATGTCTTCGGGATTCCTGAGAACTCTCTGAATCAGGAAGAAAAGGGAATGATGAGAATTATATAATCTAATTATAGAAATGTATAGAAATGTTAAACCATGTGTTAAGATAGGATAGATTTGAAGTGTTACAAAGAAAAAAAAAGGAGATTTAGGATTTGGGTGGCTTTGCAATTTATCAAGGTTAAGCCCATATATATATATATATTTTTTTATTAATATTAGGTAAATTATTGTAGTTTGCAGTGAGAAAAGAGCTATGATATGTGTTATTCGCAATTTATATTGTGTTTATTAATGAGATTGCGCGAGATTAATGTTGAGCCATAAAAGTTAGGAACAGATTAGAGAAGGGAATTAAAAGTCAGTAGATTTAGTTCTTGGATTTTAAATATAGACTGTTAAAGAAAAAAGAGGAAATTCCAACTATTTATACAACATATTCAAGATATTTATAAATAATAACTTAGAGATGATTAGAAGATGATGAATTAGAGGTTGACAAATAAAATAGGTAAATGTAGGATGGCAAGAGTTCAGACAGTATTATTAGATATTGACAGTGATAGTGATGACATGGAGGCTAAAAGAAAGACATGTTAGTGATATTTTAAACCTATATAAATAAAGGACAGGTATAGTAGTAGACCATCAATAAATCTTCATTCATATTCTACTTTTGATAATGCAGAATATTATATAAATTATCAAACTACGTAGAACCAATGTGAGAGTCGTAAGAAATGTAATTTCTCATGTCAAAAATATATAGGCCTAACTATTTCATCCAAAATACTATTTCTCATTATACTGAATCAAGTAAAATTGTATAGCACACTTTATATAGTGTGCTATAATTTTTAATGTGTTAATAAATTATTTTAAAAATAGTTTGTCTTTATCTGAATTAAATTTCTATGGTTATTTAAATGTATCAGAGGATAAGCTATAGTTATCAAAATTACCGGTATATTGTCATACATATGTAATAAAACAAAACAGTAAAATGCAAATTTATTTACTTATTTTACCATTACCAATTTATTAAACAGATATATTATACAAGAACATTATGTACAAAACTTTCATTCACAATATGTAACAATATAACAGTTTTAAACATTATAAAAGAGCTTCTTGTCTTGAAAATTGTTGAAACTAATATCTCAAATACTATAGTAGAGATAACAGAGACTTATCACAATGCCACTGGTAAAATTAAAACGACAGAAGATGACAGAAGTGTCATTTTTATGTTACCAGTAGCAGTGTGATACGTCTCTGTTATTTCTACTATAGTATTTGAAACATTAGTTTTAACTGTTTTAAACAGATCTCTATTTAAAATCTGGATAAATTAAACCGAAAATATAACTATTTTCGATTTATCTACAGCCTGATCTGTAATTTAAAATCATTACCTTATTAATTTTTTTTATAAACCAAATACTCCTTTTCTTTCTTTATACATGATATAAAATTTAAAAATGTAATTACGAATAAGATTTTTTGACAGTACAGTAGAAAAAGTTAAAAAAATGCTTTAAAACGGGAAAAGTGCCTACTAACCAAATAGATGAACAAACTTATTCTAGCCATAGAGAGACTCTCCCGCCAGCTATCGGCAACCTGAGGAATTAACTGTACTTGAGAGGGCATCGCAATGACCAGTATACAGTATCTATAAACTTTGCTTAAACCATCACATGATGCACCTTTACTCCTTTTAATGGTCACTAAACTAGTCCATCGCCTAAGGGAAGTGCCTTCTTAAGTTGGTCAGACTGTAGTTGGTCAGATTCACGCAATCGGGACATTCCAATTTTCAACGCAAGTGTTAAGTGTTGAAGTCAACAATTTGACGTCATCAACGACGTTCCAACTCCAGTACGAAGTGCTTAGTTCCCATAATTCCATTCTCAGCAAGATGAATTCCATTCAAATGTCCCAATTACCCACAATTCATTGGAAAGTAGCAGTCAACATATCTGTTGAGTGCTGAGTGTGTTGAGTCAGCGCTGACAACAGCGCTACCTCAACGTTGAAAAAAGGAACGAATTTTAACGAATGTTGAGATCAGCGCTGAGTCAGTGTTGAAAATTGGAATGTCCCGAATGCCAATGGGCTGGCCAAATGGAGTTTTTCGGATTTTCGCGTTAATAACAACTAAATAGGGACCAGCTTCCCACAAAAGTCCTCCTGGGAGACATTTACGTGTCGCGTTGCAGTAACCAGATAATTATGGGTAACTGGCCCCTGAATACGGGCCAGGTACCCCTGCGTTACAGACGTGGAGAAAACGCGGAAAACTCCACGTTGCCAGCCAGTCTTGGCGAGGCGCGAAACACGGCCAAACTACCAATGTTCAGTGACCGGAACGTTTGACTACTGATAGGCCCACCGTAAAGTTATAACGTGTAATTCACGGTAATGTGCGAAATATTATGTAATAGGCTTTTACGCTGTATATATGTATACAGAAAGTGCCTTACAAGTCAACTGTTGTCTAGGGCAGTGTTCCACAACCGGTGAGCCGTCACAAGGTGAAAGGTGTGACGTCAACTTTTACATATTCTATTAATTTCAAGTTTTATTTATATATTTTTATCACAGTCGTTGTGTTTCTTATTTCATTCACTGATGAAATAAGATTATGTTAAAACGATAAATACATATGTTGTCCCACTACTCACTTATTCTTTAGGAGTTATACATTGGACTCACACAGATCTTGAGCAACTCCAAATGAAAACAAGAACAACACTTACTAAGCATAAACAACATTATCCTAAATCTGCCATAGAAAGATTAACCCTTCCACGTAAATATGGCGGCGTGGCCTGATCGACGTAGTTAACCTCCACTACAAACAAATACTGACATTGCCGGGGTTTTCTACAGAAAACAAGAAACGTCACAGTTACATAAAGCAGTAACTCTAGCAAACTCAAATAATACACCATTAAATTTACATTCACAACGTATGAACACGACACAACATATAAATAGCATAGACACCGTTAAGCAATCACGGGTACGAAAGGCACTCCATGGAAAACATCCATATGACCTGGCCCAGGACTTTGTTGACAAAAACTGCGTCAAACAGCTGGTTAGCTCGGGGATGCCTCTTTGGGGAGACGGAAGGATTCATGATTGCCATACAGGATCAGGTCATAAATACTAAAAACTATAGAAAACATACTCAAAGATATAACAATCACAAACGACATATGCAGAAAATGTCAAATCATGCCAGAAACTATACAACACATCACTTCTGGGTGCAAGCTCTTGGCATAGACAGATAATTTACATAGACATAATTAAGTAGCAAATACATCATGAGCTTGCAAAGAAACACAAATTATTAGACATCCACAAACCATACTACAAATACGTTCAACAGACAGTATTGGAAAACAACACGCACAAAATGTACTACAACAGCCAGATAAAACAATTTACCACAACAGACCAGACATCACATTCATTGACAAACACAATAAAATCACATATATTATAGACATCCATTCCAGACTCACAATATACAAAACACGTGCACTGAAAAAATCAGCAAATACACAGAACTCGCCCAGAAAATAAGGCATCTATGAAGGATGGATAGCGTTCTTATTGTACAGTACCAGTCGTTCTCTCCTGTACAGGTGTCATACCACATGCTACACAAAAGCCTGGAAACATTAAAATTGAATAGAAACACATACATCACACTACAGAAGGCTACTATACCTGTCATATTGAATACCTGTCATATTGTTAGGAAATTCCTGAATACAGACACACACTGACACACTTATTTAATTTTTGTCTTGTTTTGAAGTTACTATACCTTGACCCTGGTCTGGCATAATACACAGCCATCGGTGTCAACCGAGTGTAACTCACAAAACTCAAGATAATAATAATAATAGGTTTATGGCATTACAAAATTCTATTAATAGTATCATATCATACGTTTTTGAGGGGAATAACATTTTGGTGTTTCGTGTTGAGTCATGTCGAGTCATAGGTGTGCCGCGAGTACAAAAAGGTTGCGGAACACTGAGATAGACAAACCCGCTTGGGGCCTCGTGCTTTTAAATTTATCTAAGAGGAGAAAAGGGCCTTTATAAATCATAGCTTAAGGCTTCAATAAGTCGAAATATGCTCTTGTTATCTTAATTTAAAACTAGATGTTATTTATCAAATTTTAAGTTTTAATACAACTATATTTATTTCCTATTAATTTATTAATTTATAATAGATCAATCAATTCGTGTGTTATGTGTAGTGAAACAATGAAACTACACATTTCATACAGCTATAAAGGAAAAGCTAAAAGAAGTAGGGCTAATTACTTAATGACAAATATATCTATTAAATTAAGTTTATGTAAATAAACAAAAATTTAATAAACGTCATGGTATTAATTACCTTAGATATGAAGAGGCACTAAAATATAATATAAAAACGCATTCTGTTTATTTTTTAAGTAACAGTAGCGTGTTATCCTATGGGTAAAAAAGGCAATTGCCTAGGACTTCTACCTACAGAAAGTTCCAAACCAAGCTTTTATAAGAAAATATTTTATCCCCAAAAGTTCCTCCGAAGAAAAAAGTCTACAGACAACACTATACG